TGTATAGCCTTGGAAACCGTACACAGCACCACTATGAGTCAGAATAGACTCAGTGGCACTTAACATCTGCCAGTTAGGTTTGATGAGAAGACTGCTGTCACCACCAAGCAGCGGCAGGCACTTGATCGTGGCAGCCTGTGTGATGGCTAATGCAGACAGAAGTCTTCCCCATCCGTGCTCCCTGTGTCAGAGAGGACGTGCAGGAGCATGAAGCTGCAGAACACCACGGGAAGCTGCAGAACACCACGGGAAGGAGAAGAGCAGTAGGGTTTTTTTTTGTGTGTGTTTTTTTTCTAGCTCCTGTTAGGGGATTTCATCTTTGTCCCCCTACCAGAATTCCTGAAATAGCCAATTCCCCAATTACGGGGAGAAGTCAGATCCTAGGTGGCTAAAGAGAATGCTGGATGGCATTTATTCTGCCTCCTAGTCTGTGGAAGAGATCACCTTTCCTCCTATTCATATTTTGTGCTTGGCTCAAAGTTTGTAATGCAGAGGAGGAGAGCCTCAAAAAATGAGAAAGATGATTTTCTGGCTAGAACCCCAACTTTGATTATAAGTTATTTTATTGTGATCATTTATAAATCCAAGTTCTTTTTTGTGTTGGTAGCTATTTTGCAAAGTGTACAATGTGGCTTTTGCCTTTCCATGGTTTTCATGTCTATATTGGCTTTTAGAGAGCGGTAATCTTTTAATTCCTCACTCCTGGCCGGGAACATGAGGCACACATCATGAGAAGCTGTTATCCAGAAGTCTGCTATTATGTTGCAAAAGTACCAGTGTGGTGTTGTTAAGTTCTGTTCAGTCTGTTCAGACACAGTGATTCTTTGTAGGGTTTGGGAGAGGTAGGTTTGAACTGCTGACCTTGCAATTAGCTTATCCTATAGCACCACATTAGTACGCTGTTGAACACCAGTATTGTTGTTATGTGCCATCGAATCAGTTCTGATTGATAGTGATCTTGTACAGGGTTTTCAAGGGGCAGCTGGTGAGTTTTGAACTGCAGACCGTGTGGTTCAAACCAACTTTATGATTGAGTGATTATCCTACAGCAACATACAAGTATATGAAGTTGTTGTTGTCGTTGTTGTTGTCATGTGCCGTGGAGTCGGTTCAGACTCATAGCGACTCTGTACAGGATTTCCGAGGCTATAACTCTTTACGGGAGCAGAAAACCTCATCTTTCTCCTGCAAAACAATTGGTAGTTTCGAACTGCTGACTGTGAGATTAACAGTCCGATTTGTAACCACTATGCTACCAGAGCTCCTTATTTTGTGAGTTTAGAGATTCATTAAAGCATACATTGCACAAATGTATTTGAAAACTTCTGGAAATTCTAAATAGTGAAGTACATAAGAAGGGCTGTCCTGATTTATGTTCTTGTTGAGCAGTAATGGGCACAGAAGCAAACTGGCCTATGTATTTATTATACTGCTGTTATCCGGCTCACAACAAGTAACCTTGTATGACAGAAGAACTGGTTTTCTTGGCTGTAATCTTTACAGAGGCTGATTGCAAGGTCTTTCCCTCACACAGCTCCTGAGTGGGTTTCAACCCCAACCTTTCTATTAATTAGCAGCCAGATGCTAAAGCATTGTACCACCAGGGCTCCTTCAATTTACTGTTACTATTTTGCGCTAGTGACCTTATAGAACTGCTGTGCCTTAAGGTTTCCTGGGCTGTGATCTTATTATTTTTTTTCTTATACTATAGGCAGTAAATTAAAAGTTAATAAATTAGTGCTTTCTTCTTAAATTTATAGCCAGAATTGATGATATTTGTAGGATTGGTTAATCCTTGTCCACATGTGTTGACTTATGGTAAAATTATGACATTTTAAATGTACATACAAGTCCAAGTCCAAACATGGTATCTATTTATAATTACTTCTAATGACATAGGTTGAAATTTTTGCCCATTAATTTAAATGGTAATTCACAATTTTACTATGGTTTTTTAAAGGTTTAGTAACGGTTTCTTAAACATGAGAAACGTAATGTTGAGTGATTTCTGGTGTAGTTCAAGTTATCCCTGTTGTACAACAACAACAGCAGCAGCAAGAAGCTGTCATATCAACATACATGTGACAGGTTAGTTTGGGGAAATCAGATAATTAAGGAAATAAAAACTGTGCAGAAAATAAAAACTTTTCCTGCTTTCTTGACATATGAATAAAAGAAATACTTGTCATTAGACACATACACTCACAAATCCATAGCTACAAAAGCCATGAATGTAAATATTATTGTTTTTGTTAATTGCCATTGAGTCAGTTCCAACCCATAGTGACTCTGTATAGGGTTTCCGAGAAGCAGCTGGTGAGCTTGAATGCCAACCTTACAGCTCAGACCAAGTTTGCAGCCTAGCGCATTAACCCTCAGTGCCATTCCAGGATCATACATGTATATGAGTGTATATGTATTTATACAAACAGTAGTTTATTAAGGAAATGGCTTACAATTGTAGAGTCCCAGGTCCTCAGTGGAAGAGAGAGAGCCTTTCCCATTTGTCTGTTCTATAGGGAGTAGGCCACACCCTCAAGAAAACATCCCTTCAATTAATTGGCTGCTTATACCAATGATTAAAGAGTTAACGATGTCTGTTAGGTTTCATCACCTATGGAATTAGTGTATCTTAATTGCCAAACCACTGAATCCTGGCCTAGTCAAGTTGACGCAGAACCAAAAAGAAATTGTCGATATTTAGCCATTTCAGGGAGTAACATATGATCAAGAACCGATGATCTTAAAGGAAGAAGATCCATCTGCACTGAAGGCATTGGCAAAAAGCAAGGCTCGGGAATTGACAAACTATAAGTTGAATTCTTTCAACAAATGGATAACCACTGGAGATGTTCACTTATGTCAAGAATTTTGGAAGCTTTTTGGAAGATTTTGGAAGAGTTTTGGAAGAACCTGGCCAACTGACTGAAAAAGATCCATGTTTTGTGTCCATTCCAAAGAGAGATGACCCAACAGAATGTGGAAATCATAGAATGGTATTATTAATGGCACATGCAAGCAAAATTGTGCTGAAAATGATTAAAAAAGGACTGCACAAATACATAAACAGACAACTGCCAGAAACTCAAATCAAATTCAGATGGAGACGTCATTGCTGATGTCAGATGGATCTTTACTGAAAGCAGAGAATACCAGAAAGATGTTTGCTAATGCTTTATTGACTATGCATAGGCTTTCTACTTTGTGGATCATGATAGGCTATGGAGAACATTGCAGAGAATGAGTTTTCCAGAACACTTAATTTGCTCATGAGGTAATTGTACATAGAGCAAGAGGCAGCCATTAGAACAGAACACAGGGATACTGAATAGTGTAAAATCAGGAAAGGTGTACACTAGGGCTGTATTCTTTCACTGTAGGATAAGCACTGGGCCACAAAGTCAATTTGAACTACGAGATCAGCACCTCAAACTCACAAGCCATACCTTGGAAACCGTATACAGCGTCACTATGAGTGAGAACTGACTCCACGGCACTTAACAACAACATTCAGTTTGTATTCAACAAATAATCCGTGAAGTTGGATAATGTGAAGAAGAATTTGACATCAGGATTGGAGGCAGGGTCATTAACAACCTGTGGTAGGCAAATTATATAAAATCTTTCTTGATGGACGCGAAGAGAACTTAAAATACTTACTGCTGAAGATCAAAGACTACAGCTTTAATATGGATTGCACGTCAGTGTCAGAAAAAAAAAATCCTCCCTACTGCACCAATAAAATAACATCATGATAAATGGAGAAAAGATTAAAGTTGTCAAGGACTTCATTATGCTTTCATACTCAAGGAAGTAGCAGTCAGAATTTTAAACGACATCTTTCAGTAGGTGAATCTGTTGCACAATACCTCTTAGATGTGTTCAGGAGCAAAGATATCAGTTTGAGGGGTAGGGTATGCCTGACCCAAGCTGTAGTATTTTCACTTGTCTCATATACATGTGAAAGTTGGACAATGAATAAGGAAGACTGAAGAGGAATTGATGTATTTGAGTTATGGGGTTGAAGAATATTCAGGATACCATGGGATTCCAGAAGAACAAACCAGTCTGTGTTGGAGGAAGTACAGCCAGATCTTCAGAAGCCAGGATAGGCAGACATTGTTTTGTTGTTCAGACGTATTATCAGGAGGTACCAGTTCCTGGAGAAGGACGTTATGCTTGGTTAAGTGGAGGGTTAGCAAAAAAGAGGAAAGACCCCAATGAGATATATTGGCACAGTGGCAGCAACATTGGGCATTCTCCCCCAAATCATGTCCTTAAAAACATAAAAGAGCATATCCAAATTTTAAAGAAATTTATGTAACTGACCATTTTGGAAATCGTTTTCTTTTGATTTGCTCTGCACACATATTTGTAACTTTTGGTATTCACTTGTGACATTCTTGTTAAATTGGAATAGAAGTTTAAGAAACTGAGTATGTGACACTACTTGGTAGACAGACTACTTTGAGAATCTGAGCAATTTAAAATTTTGAAGGAGCAGGTTGAAAGGGAATGCCATGCTTCATCTTTTAAAATCAGAACACATTATCATCTTCTGTACTAAATAGTTTATGACTTTAGGCAAGTAGATGTCTTTCCTCCATTTTCAGTGTGAGATTATTTAAGTTATTTGAATTAACTCAGTAACTTTGCTTTAAAAACATTTTTTTTTTTAATTCTCACTTTTTTAAAATTTTATTTACTTTTCACCCAAGTTAACACACATCTACCTTCCAGCCAATTCCCTTTTTAGTGAGGCTTTTATCCCGAAATAACAGCAATAATAATGAGCAGTGAAATACTGTTTCCCTTGTAGTAGGAGAGTTGCATGTGACATGCATGATTCCTGTTTCTAAATTACTTGAAGTAAGCCTGTGAAATAACTGCGTGCCATTTCAGATTTTCGTTACCACTTACTAGAAAAGTGATTTTAGTATTAAGTTTTTATTGGGAAGCTCTGCTTACAGTTCTTTTTGTTTTTGCTTTGATTGTTTCAGTCGTGGAGGAAGGACTCTGGGAAAACGGCCTTTCCTATGAATGCAGGACGCTGCTCTTCAAAGCGATCCACAATCTGTTAGAAAGGTAAGGGAAGGAGTAGCATGCCACTGGTGTTGAGACACCAAGTGTAAGTATGCTGCTATATACTCTGTTGCCAGAAATTCTCATGAGCAATCATATACTGTTATTATATAAGTGCTATTATATTACAAAAATCGGTTTCTTTTTGTATTGATCTTAATTTGAGCTTGGAGAAAAGTCTTAGAAATAATACAAAGACTTCCCAATTATACCAGATTCACCAAAAGTGCTTCTTTTCCCTATTTGCTTTATCATTTTCATGTGCACTTTCTCTCTGTGTCTTTCTTGGTATTTGTGTGCTTATGTGAATATTTGTATGCTTTTTAAAAATACTTAACCTTTAAACCTTTGAGAAGAATTTTCAGACTTAAACTGATGTTCTTTTTGTACCCCTAAGTTTTTCAGTGTACATTTCCTCTTACATCCTCTTAATATACCCACAGTATAATTTTGAAGATTTAGCAATTGATCACTGTTAAAAGGTTCTCTAACCCATAGTTAATTCAGTTGCACTAGTTATTTCTTTTTCACATAATGCCCCCAAATTCTCATCCATGGTTATATATTATGTGTAGTTTTCATGTCTCCAAATCTATACTAGTTTCTTCGGGTTTCTTTCTTACCCCTTGACATGTTGATGTGTTTTCAGGCCCTATGTTTTATATTTAATCCTCACTGGCTTTAGTGGTTGGTGTGTAAATTTGAATAATACTGCTATTAACTGGGTTTCCCTGTTGTTGTTGTTATGTGCCGTGGAGTTGGTTCTGACTCACAGCGACACTATATACAGGGTTTGCAAGGCTGTAAATCTTTATGGGAGCAGAAAGCCTCATCTTTCTCCCATGGAACAGCTGGTAGTTTCAAACTGCTTACCTTGAGGTTCATAGCATGATTCATAACCGCTATGCTACCAGAGCTCTTTGGGCTTCCCTGTAGGCTCATGGATATTATCCTTTCACAGCATTGTACCTCATGACTGATCTGGATATATTCTTTTTGACATTGAATGCAACACCATTCCTCTTCAATTTGTCATTCCCGATATGGTAAACCGTGTGGTTGTCAGTTTCAAAATGGCTAATACCAGTCCATTTCAGGTCTCTAATGCCGGAGATATCAATGTTGATGCATTCCATTTCATTTTTGACAACTTCCAATTTTCCCAGATTCATACTTCGTACATTCCATGTTCCAGTTTTCAATGGATGTTTACAGCTGTTTCTCTTCATTTTGAGTTGTGCCCCATCAGCAAATGAAGGTCGTGCTGACCTTTCTCCCACCGGCTTTATTCCATTTGCGTCATCACAGTCAACTTTACTTTGAGGAGGCAGCTCTTCCCCAGTCGCATTTTGAGTGCCTTCCAACCTGAGGGGCTCATTTTCCAGCACTGTATCTGACAGTGTTTCTCTGCTCTTACAAGGTTTTCAGTGACTAAATATTCAGAAGTAGTTCGTCGCTCCTTCCTAGTCTGTCTTCATCTGGAAGCTCATCTGAAAGCTGTCTACCATGGGTGATCCTGCTGGTATTTAAAATACCACTGGCATAGCTTTCAGAATCACAGCAACTCACAAACCACCACAGTATGATAAACTGACAGACCAGTGGTAGTTTCAAGAGGTAGCATTTGATCAAGAGCCAATGATACTGAAGGAGGAAGTCCAAGGTGCATTGAAAGAATTGGCAAAGAACAAGTCACCAGGAACTGATGGAATAAAGATTGGAATCTTTCAAGAAACTGAGGCAGCACTGGAGGCACTCACTCATCTATGCCAAGAAATTTAAGACAGGTATCTGGCTGACATATTGGAAGAGATCCTTATTTGTGCCCATTCCAAAGACAGGTGACCCAGTGGATTGCGGAAATCATCGGATAACCTCTTTGATATGTCCCATGCGAATAAAGTTTTACTAAAGGCAATACAGAAATGGCTGCAATCATACATTGACAGAGAACTTCCAGAGTTTCAAGCC